GGAAGGAAGGGAGGGAGGGAGGGAGATGGAGGGAGGGAATGTCAGAAGAGATTCTGAAGATCACACTAGAATGCAGATAAGCCAAACAAAGGGAAGAAATGCTGAAGTAAAAGAAATTAACAGAATATTTCAAGGGGCAGCTCGAAAATAAAAAGCAGCGTATTATAATGAAATGTGCAAAAAACTGGAGTTAGAAAATCAAGAACTTACTCCACATTTCCCAAACTGGAAAAACTGAAGAACAAATTCAAGCCTCCAGTTGCAACACTGAAGGATGTTAGGGGCAAAATAATAAATGATGCAGGAAACATCAAAAGAAGATGGAAGGAATACACAGAGTCACTGTACAAAATAAATTTAAAAAATGGCTGATACAAACCCAACACCAGCTAAAGAACCAATGGTAATGAAGGAAGAAGTTTAAGCTGCACTGAAGACACTGGGGGGAAAAATTGTGGGGATTTATAGAATATCAATTGACATTTGTTTCAACAAATGCAGCATTGAACAGGCTCACCAGGCTGTCAAGAAACCTGGAAGACAGTTAGCTGCCCAATTGACTGGAAGAGATCTGTATTTGTTCCCATTCCAAAAACGATGATCCAAATGTTATTGTTTTTATGTACCACTGTATGCCCACATCTCATAGCAACCCTATGTCCAATAGCTCTGAACCCTGCTCCATTCTGATCCAGTCTCACTGACTCCAACACATGTCAATCAATCTCATCGATGGTCTTCCTCTCCCACGCTGTCCCTCCACCCTCCCAAACATGACGTCCTTTTCCAAAGCCTGGTCTCTCCTAGCCATGTGCCCAAAGAATCTGAGATAGAGCTTCAAAATCCTTGCCTCCAAGGATTATCCAACAGAATGTGGAAATTATCAAATAATATCAATAAGAGCACATGCAAGTACTATTTTGCTAAAAATTATTCAAAACCAGCTAGCACAGTGTATGAACAGAGAACTGCCAGAAATTCAAGCAGGATTTAGAAAGGGCCATAACAACAGTGAGCTCTGGTGGCCTTGTAGTAAGAAGCTGTACTGCAATCCCAAAGGTACACAGTTTGAATCCACCAGCTGCTCTGCAAGAGACGAACTGACAAACTCCTCTCCTGCAATATACCTCCTGCAATATGCCTCCAAAAACCTATTGGAGGGACAGCTGTGAGTCAGTTCCACCTCAACAGTACACAATAACAACACAGCACCAAAGATATCATTGCTGATTTCAGCTAGATCTTGGCTGAAAGGAGAGGGTAGGAGAAGGATGTCTATTTGTGTTTAGTTACTATGCAAAGGCATTTGACTGTGTGGATCATAACACATTAAGGCTAACTGAAAAGAATGGGAAACCTAAAACACTTACTAGTGCGCATGCTAACCTTATATCTAAATCAAGAAACTGCTGTCCAAACAGAGTAATGAAACACTGCACAGTTTAAAAATAAAAAAAGGTATGCAGGGCTGTATCTTTTCTCCATACCTAGTCAATCTGTGATACAAACAATATTGTTCAGCAGTTTCCACATTCTTTTTTAGGAATGGAAACAAATCCGGATCTCTTTCAGTCAGTTGACCAGGTGGCTGTCTTCCAGGTTTCTTGGCACAGCCTTGTGAGCATGTCCAGAGACACATCTATTTGCTGGAATATGTCAATTGTTATTCCATTAATTCCTAGGGCTTTTTTTTTTTTCAGAATGTCTTCAGTGAAGCGTGATATCTTTCCTTTATTATTATTGATTCTGCTACATCCTGAAATAGTTCCATGTCAGCCAATTCTCTTTGGTACCATGACTGTGTAATCCTTTCATCTTCTTTTGATGATTCCTGATCATTCAAATGATTTCTACAGAAAATCAAAGATTACAGCCTTCACTATGGATTACATCTCAACATGAAGAAAACAAAAATCTTCACCATTGGGCCAATATGCAACATCATGATAGACAGATGGAGAAAAGACTGAAATTGTCAACAATTTCATCTTACTTGGATCTACAACCAACACCACTGGTATCAGCAGTCCAAATGTCAAAAGATACGCTGTGCTGGGGAAAATCTGCTATCAAGGACCACTCCAAAGGGCTAACGATAAAGACTAAGGTGCACTTGATTCAAGCCATGTTCTTTACAATTACTTGCTATGCATCTGAAAGTTGGGTAATGAAAAAGAATGACAGAAGAAAAATGGATACCTTTGAGTACCTTGTAGAGCTGGAGAAGGTTACTGAATATCCCATGGAACAAGCAAATCTGTCTTGGAGAAAGTACAACAGGGTGCTCCTAAGTTGTACACTATTTAGGACTTGAACTTGGTTGTCTCTACAGTATAACCTGGCTGACACAGGTATTAGTATTGATAGTGAGATTGAGGTCAGCGGTCACTGTACTCACACCACTGCCTCAATGATGCCTTGGATCTCTCTCTGCAGTTCTGGCTCCTTCCGGTATGACTCAATCAGCAGTAAGGCTTGGTCATAGTTGGCACAGTAGATCTTATAGACACTCTCCAACTCTTCTTGGAATTTGAGAAATAAATTACCTGGTAACGAAAAGCAACATGGAGTTACCAAAAGTGAGGAGGGCTCCTGTTTTCCTTGGGCATGCCTGCATGCATGTCTCACTGCTGAGAACAGGATGGGAGGAAAAGGGACAGGTAAATAGTTAAGCTCTGAAGTCAGGCTGCCGGCTCAACCAGCTCTGCAATGCTGGGCAAGCTACCTCACCTTTCTGAACCTTAGTTCGTAAAGAAAGTTCATCAGAATTCCAGAAAGCTGCTATCAAGACCAAGTGGTAGGAGATGTAAAGCTCAGACTGACACACTGTGAATGCTTACTGAATGATAACTACAATTACAGTAAAATGCTGTTACCGTTTATAGTTGCACAACGTCTTACACTTTATGAAGATACTAGCCTATTTCACCTTTACAATTATGTTTATGGCACATGCAGCTCCAGATTCTTAGTTTACCAAATCATAAGAGAAGTAATAAAGAGTTGGAGAGTGACCATTAGTTTATCTTTTCCCTTACATAACATGGAGGCAAGTGTTCAGATCCCCTAATTCTCTCTTTTCTCATCTATAGTATGTGTAATGATGAATCAGAACTGGCCCACAGCTGACCCTCTGGGAGGTTTTTAGAGGCAGTTAATTGCATGGGAGGAGACTGCCCAACTTTCTTCTGTGGAGCAGCTGGTGGATTGAAACTACATGCCTTTGGGATTGCAGGGCAGCTTCTTACCATTAGGCCACCAGAGCACCATCTATAGTATTGTTGTTGTATATTACAGTCGAAACTGACCCACAGCTGAACCTCCAGTGGGTTTTCAGAGACATTTAATCACACTGGAGGAGATGGCCCACCCTTCTGCAGAGCAGCTGGTGGATTCAAACCATGTGCCTTCAGGATTGCAGTGCATCTTCTTGCTACCAGGCCACCAGAGCTCCCTTACAGGAGTTATAGTAATAATAATAATTGTTATTATTATTATGAATAATAATTTATAGGTGCCATTGAGTACGACTTACAGTAACAACAGAATTCTGTCCTATGCTACACCACCCTCATCATTTCCTTGGAAAGATGTATCATGCTTAGAAATTGAAAGGTTCAAAAAAAGAGAAGACAACCCTCAATGTGAAAGACTGAGACAGTGAGAACATCAGTGGGCAATGAACTCCATCAGTGTATCAGAGATGAGGATGGTACAGGTAAAGACAGGGTTCAGATCTGCTGTTCACAGGGTCTCTATGAGTTTTACTCAACTCGATGGCACCTAACAACATGCCCCAAGTATGTGAGTCAGAGCTTTGTTATCCTTGCCTCCAAAGAGCACTCTGGCCACAGGGTTCAGATCTGTAGTTTATAAGGTCACCGTGAGTCAATTCACTGGCATCTAACAATAGACTGGAACTTGCTTGATGGCACCTACTGACAACAGCAATAGTCCTTTTAGAGTCATCGGTTACTAAAGACGTTAGTGCTAGGACATGAACTGACATCAGTAAGAAAGGAGAATATGAGAAGCAAGATAGTGAAGCAAGAACTCGATTCAAACCCTTACTCTATCTAGTCAAGTTGTGTTTGACCTTCAGCCACCTTAACCAAACTAAGCCTCGAAATTTTGTTCCTCAGTAAATGGAAATAACCATAATTAACAAGAAATGATAATGTGAGAAGGAGATGAGCTACTCTACAGGCACCATAAATGCTCTAAAATGCACCATAAATGGCTATTATCATGTTTACTTTAAAGACGCAGAGACTGAGGCTGAGAGGTAGGAAGTAACTTGTGAGTGATGGAGTCTTGTCCATCATATTCCAAAGGCCCTGTTTTAAATCACTAGACTCTACTGCTCAAATACAGTAGTCATCAGCCATGTGTGAATACTGAGCACTGAAATATGTTGTTGTTGTTGTTATGTGCTATCGAGTCGTTTCCGACTCATAGCGACCCTATGCACAACAGCCCTAAACCCTGCTCTATCCTGCACCAACCGCACCGCCTCTGACACACCCATCCCGATTACCCCAGTCACCGAATCAATCCATCTCATAGAGGGTCTTCCCCTCCTGCGCTGTCCCTCCACCCTCCCAAGCATGATGTCCCTCTCCAAGGACCCGTCCCTCCTGGCAACATGTCCAAAGTATGTCAGACGAAGCCCCAGAATCCTTGCCTCTAAGGAGCAGCTTGGTTTAATCCTCTCCAAGATGGATCTGTTTATTTTCCTGCCAGTCCAGGGTACATTTAGTACCCTTCTCCAGCACCACAGTTCAAAAGCATCCACTCTCCTTCTGTCCTCCCTAGTCATTGTCCAACTCTCTGATGCATAACAAGCGATTTGCAAATACCATGACCTGTATCAGGCGCATCTTAGTCTCCAGAGAGACACTGTTGCTCCTGAGTACTTTAGAGAGGTCCCTAACAGCAGACTTTCCCATCGCGATACGCTTTTTGATTTCCTGACTGCTGGTACCAAGAGTGTTGACTGTGGAGCCAAGCAAACTGAAGCTCTGAACACTCTCAATCTCTTCATCATCCATCCTGACGCTGCCAATTGGTCCAGTGGCGAGAATCTTTGTCTTCGAAATATAGTGTATCTAAATTGGGAGGGATGAAAGTTAAAAAGATATATGGGATTTCAAGGACTTGGTAAATAAAAAGTAAAGTATCCTATAATGAGTCATTTCATATTGGTTATGTGAGATATTAGAATTATAATGAGTTAAATAAACTATATCAAGAGAGCACTGGGGGCTTGCTGGTAAGGAATTGTGTTGCCAACCCAAAAATATGTGGTTCAAATTCACCAACTACTCTGCTGGAGAAAGATGGGCAATCTCCTCCCATATGATTTACAGCCTTTAAAAACCCACTGGGGGGAAAAAACTCACTGGAGTGTCAGTTATGATAACAAAAAATATATAATTAAAATTTATCTCTTTCATTTTTGTGTGGTCATGGGGAAACTATAAACTGCATCATGGCTCATGTGAGGTGTCTACCGGACAGCCCTGCATGGTGCTTCCTGATGATGAATGTGCAGGAACTCATGTGTATGTTCAAATTGTGTTGGAAACATTTATAAGGACTGTCAATCCATGGAACTTGTTTGGGAGAAAACAGTCTGTAACATACAGTCTCCCTGAAACTGGAACCCTTATTTACTGTTGGTGGGAGTGTGAAATTGTGCAACCACTATAGAAGGCAGTATGGAGCTTTCTCAGAAAGTTGGAAATAGAAGTACCATTTGACCCAGCAATTCCACTACTGGAAATATACCCTAAAGACACCAGAACTGCCACCCAAGTAGATATATGCACGCACATGTTTACTGCTGCTTTGTTCACAATAGCAAAGAGCTGGAAACAACTTAAGTGCCCATCAAGAAATGAATGGCTACAGAAGCTGTGGTATATTCACACAATGGAATACTATGCTACACTGAAAAACAAGGAACTCGTGAAATATTACACAAAATGGGTGACCCTGGAGGACATTATGCTGAGTGAAATATCTCAGTCACTAAAGGACAAATAGTGCATAAAGGACAAATAGTGCATAGTGCTACTGTTGTAAAGTGGGTCTGACATCAGAGTTGGGGGGAATCAAAGAGAGGATAAATCATGCATACTGCACTGAAACAGATGAGGGAGAGAACTGTTTAGGAGGAATATATGATTAGGTATTATTGTCATGACAAAAGTCCAGAATGAAAGCTGCATAGTGAAGTGGACTGGGGAGGAGGGGAAGATTTTATAAAAATGAAATAATTTTTTTTTTACCATTCAAAGAGAAAAGGGAACTGGAGGGAGGGGTGGGCAGGGAGGAAAGTGTGCAACTATGAATGAATGGAAATTTAAAGTCTCTGTAAACTGTCATTAAAATAAGAAAAAAATTATAAAAAAAAAATAAAAAAGGACAGTCTCCCTCTAGCTCCAAAACTGTTTTAAAGTCTGATTAGGAAGAAGGTCTTCATTTTCCAGCCGGGCCTGGGAGGGTGGGAGGGTGAGAGACGAATGGAGAGAGAGTTCACGGGAGCCACCACGGCCTGAGCCAGCACACAGCTGCACCGAGGAGAAGAAAAGGCATCTGTTTTCCTGGGCCTACTTTCCAGTAAACCACAAAAGACAGATGGTAAAGAGACTGTTTTCTATAGATTTTAAAAGGCTGCCAGATTTACAGAGGGAAAAATACAGAACAACCAATTAAATTTTAATTTCAGATTTTTTTATATATATACATTATGTCCTAAGTGGAGCATGGGACATGTTTCACTGAGAAATGGTGCTTGCTTTATCTGAAATTCAAAATTGAGTCTCTTGTACACTCAATGGGACCTCTCGTTTAGGTAAGCTCTACCAGGTAACCTCTACCAGGTAACCAATGACGACACCAAGTACAATCATCACGAAGTGTGTTTGGGAGACAAAGTGGTGTCCTGGCTGTCGGAAGGCAGACAGCAAGACCTCTTAACAAGGAGCCACCTCAAACCTGAGCCCACAGCACACAAAGAGCCTGTATGGTTACTAAAACAGCATCAGCAGTCAAGCTGACACTTCTAAGACTTCTCTTTACAGAAAGCCAAGCTTTGCTGTAATTCAGGCCCCTTCATTGACCAAAGAGATTCTGCCATTGCTTACTCCCCTGATAACCAATAAGATCCTGACAGCTTCGTCATAGCAATGTGTAGAAGTCAATCGGAAATAAGCTTTTTTGCTTCTGAATTTTGCCAGTATAAGCCAATCTCTGCTGACACTCAGGGGAATAACTTTCCATATGGTTTAGTGCTACCCCATTATCCAATCTAAATCTTATTTAATAGATTAATTTTATTATTGATAACATTCTTTTGGTATTTCCAAGTCCCCTCACCCGTTGAAAGCTTTCAGACTGCGTTCATCTGAACTCCATTCAAATAACTGGTAATAACTAACAAACAAAATAACTGATGAGAAGATAAAGGGTGAGAACACCAATCAAAATCTATTTTAACAATTTCGTACTTTGCTTTTGTTTTCATCTATTATTTTGGAAGACAAGATGGACAATCTCTTCCCATGAGGAGAAGCTGATAGCTCACTGTACAAAAATCACTGAATGGCTAGCTATGAGTCAGTTCAGACTTGAGGACAATGAGTAAGTGAGTGAGAGGGTTTCTCACTTGCATAGTTATTTTAATAGATATAACTAGATGGGGGGAAAACACGTACTATGTGGACTTCAATAGCACTCTTGTATGTGGAAGCAATTCAGTGTGGCAGGTCTAACTTTGACTTCCTTGGTTCAAATCCTGACTCTGTCACTAGCAGTGCTCCTCTCTGAGCCTCAATCTCTTCAACTATAAAATGAGACACCAGAATCTATCTTTTAGGGTTGTGAGGTTTATTAAATAATTCCATGTAGTTCAGTGCCATGTTTGGCATTTATGGACTCTCAGAAAGGGGCATTTTCATATATTTGATGGTTTTAGCCCCTACCATTCTTGTCTAGAAAAAGGCAAAAAACAGTTTATGTAAAGAGAGAGGGACTTGAGTGGCCATTATACTGATTCTTTCCTTTTGTTTTCCTCCATACTCGGCTAAAATAAATTCTTAAAATTAACTAGAACTTAACATTAACACCCAAACCCAAATCCACTGTTGGCAAGTCAATTCCAACCCATGGCGACCCAATATCAGGTTTCAAGACTGTACATCTTAATGGGAACATACTGCCTCATCAATCTTCCTGGGAGTGGCTGTGGATTTGAACCTCTCATAAGAAGCCCAATATGTAACATACTATGCTGCCAGAGCTTTTGAATTTAACATTAGAATACCAAGAATAACTGCTGCAGGCAAGAACCTGACATTGCCTCACACTCATCCCCTGACTAGGTGGGAAATCCTTGACCCTTGACCTTTTGCCTAGGGGGCCCAGGAAGCAGATGGAATGTGACTGAATGAGATCGGCATGAGGTTCGTTCTTATTCGTTCTTATGCTTTATCTACCCTCTAGGGATCCTAATCATTCCAGACTGGTGAGACTAGGGCAAATGGACCTCTGTATTAATCCATCTCCTCTCTGCTTTCCCTTGACCTCCTCACAGGTGTGCTCCAGGGTTGTATTCTCTCTCTGTATCTATTCAATCTGTATGCTGAGCAAATTTTTCCAGAAGCTGGACTCTATGATGAAGAATGTGGCATCAGGATAGAAGGAAGGCTCATCAATAACCTATGTTATGCAGATTACACAACTTTGCTTGTTGAAAGCAAAGAGGGCTTGAAGCGCTTGCTGTAGAAGATCAAACAACACAGCTTCAATATGGATTGCATCTCAATGTCAAGAAAATAAACATTCTTACCACTTAACCTATAGGCAACATCATGATAAATGGAGAAAAGACTGATGTTGTCAATGGTTTAATCTTGCTTCAATCCACAATCAGCACCGTTGGTACCAAAAGTCATGAGATCAGGAGAATCAGTCAGGGACCGCTCTAATTACTGAGGAGCAATGATGTCAGTTTGAGGACGAAGGTGTGTCTAATTCAGACCATCATCTTTTTAATCACTTGCTATGAGCATTGGACAATGAATAAGGATGACAGAAGAAGAACTAATATGTTTAAGCTGTGGTGTTGGAGAGAGCACCAAATATCACATGGATATGTTTTGGAGAAGGTATTGCCAGAGTGCTCCCTGGAGGCTAAGGTGGTAAAGCTTTGTCTCACAAACTCTGGACACGTTTCTAGACAAGTTCCTCCTTGGAGAGGGACATCATGCGTGGAAAGGTGGAGTGTCAAATGAATGAGAGGAAGACTCTCAATGAGATGGATTTGACACAATGACTGCAAAAATGGGCTCCAGTATGTGAGAGATTGGAAGGGAGGCACAGGACAGGACAGGGTTCAGGTCTGCTGCTCCTACGGGTGACTCAATGGCAGCTAACAACATCAACCCCTCACAATCTAATCTCCATAACAGCAAGGGGATCTTGTAAAAACAAAAGTCAAAGACCACATTGCTCCCCTGCTTAAAACTATACAATAGCTTCCTGTCACATGAATAAAATCCAAACTCCTTACCATGGCCTGGAAGTCTGCATGGTCAGGCTCCTGACTGCCTCATCTGGCTTATCCCCTCAAGACCTAATACACAATTTTTGTGGGCTTTTTATTAAAATTACAAATTGTTATCTCAAGTTATCATTTATGTGTTTATTTTCCAAATCTCTTAGTGACTTGTCACCCAGCACACAGCTTAGTGACTGACACACTCTTGGATGAGTGGATGTCTGTAAGAGAAACTCAAATCAAAATCCAAGCTGCACCATCAACCAATTGTGTGACCATGAGGCTGTTCCTCCCTTTTCTATGTGTCTCAGTTGACTCCTCTTTAAATTGACAGAGTTGGACTAGATACTATTTGAGAACCCTGCTGCTTCTGACAGGCTGTGTTGCAAGGATTCCCAAAACACTCCCACTGAACTCTATCCCCCTGAAATTGTGGAGACAGTTCAGCAACGATCTCATGCTAAGCACAATCCATGTGGCGGATCATTCCCTAGGCCTTTTGCTCACCAATTAGAAGCACTTGTTCCTCTTCTGTGGAGACCATTTCCTGCAGGCCATGAAGAAATCTGCTATTCACCTGGATGATATCATCGATGTTTGAGAACAGGACTTCCAGATCTATCTGTGGCAGCTGGAAAGAAAAAAAGCGGCTTTGAGTTCCATGGAATGATTTAGTCTGCAGACACTGGATGGTAGTCTTAAACACTCACCATCAGGGTTTGATCATGCTCAGAAGACATACTGTCCCCATGCAATGTTTGCAACAAATTTTACATGTTTTACAAATTAGTCATCGCCATAACTCTATAAGAAGAGAAGCTAGTGGCTCCTCAGCAGAGAAAGAAAGCTGGGCTGGGGTTGCATCCTGGATGTGCTGCCAACGGGCATTTTTTCTCTCTTAATTTCTCCATCTTTCAAATCAGAGTGGGAAGCTGGACTTCATCTCAGCTCGCAATATTTGGCACCTGCTGCCATTATGCTGAGATAGTCTAGGCTCCAGTCCTATAAACTAGGCTATATTGTTGTTGTTAGGTGCTATCAAGTCTACTAAAATTGACAGAGATCCTACGGAAAATAGATCTGCACCTTGATCTATTTTGTGCCATGCTCACAATCACTACCATGCTCCAGGCCACTGGAGTCACTGTGTCAATCCATCTCATTGAGGGTCTTCTCTTTCACTGATCCTCCACCTTTACGAACACACCGTCTTGTTTCTAATCCACCAGATGCTCAGCTGGAGAAGGAGGGACAATCTCCTCCTGTACCAGTCAGATCTGATTCGATGGTAGACACACAAAAAAAAAATAATAAAATTAAATTTAAAAAATGTTAAAAGTCCATTACTTATGAAGCAGCAAATAGGAGATACTGAACTTAAAGTCTTTGTGGAGCTCACTTGCTAAGAAATTTGAATTAAAATTGTATAGAGTTAAGATTATTTCTGAAACCAGGAAATAGGTATGATAAATAGAAAAAGAGAACCCCATCATGGTGTCAACTTCTCTGCCACCATCCCCAATTGAGACAAGATGTGAGGCAGTGTGGGACAGGGCCTTAATGTGGCCCTACAGCCTCCCATTTTGTGATGAGGCATTTATTGTATCAAGGAAAAAGATTTAGGGTGGGATAAAAGTTCTCCTAGAGGCCTCAGATGTTATGTATCTGAGAGCTGGACCATGAATAAGGATGGCAGAAGAATTGATGCCTTTGAGCTGTGGTCTGAGAAGAGGAGTTACTGAACATCCCATGAAAAGAATAAACAAATATGTTTTGGAGAAAGTACAGCCAGAGTACTCGTTGGCGGCAAAGATGATGATCAAGCTTGGTCTCATGCTTTGAGCATGTTGCTACTCCTTTAAGAGGGATATGATGCTTGGAAAGGCAGAGGGTTAGTGAAAGAAAGGAAGGCTCTTCAACTTGTGGATTGATTCGATGACTGCTGCAATGGGCTCTTTTGTGTCAGGAAGTGTGAGGATGGTACAGGATAGAACAGGGTTCAGATCTGTTCTTCATAAGGCTGCTATGGATGGTACTTGACTCAATGGTACCTAACAACAACAACAACTAGAGGCCTATATAACCTCATGGAAGCTCAATACTTGCTCTCTTGGGACCCATTTTATAAAAAGTAGGTAAATCTGCCTTCAGCTAGTGCTTGATTGTCTATGCTAAAAGGGAAGATTTGTCCTGGAGAAATGCTTGCTGAAAGCAGTAAAACTCAATAGAGGTCATGGGGCTTTGCCTGAGGGAAGATTAAGTCCACCACAGCCTAGTACTCCGAGAAAATTTGCAATTTGAATGGATTTGCAGATTCATCTTGAATTTTTTTTATTATATAGATTTATATTTGAAAGAAAGGCAACCAGAAAGAAAAACAAAAGACGGACTTTGACTTTTTAAAACTGGAACAAGCTATTTGGTTTATGAGACAGAGTAAAGTGGGTACTCATCAGAGCCTCCTTCCAGGACTTGATGTTCAGGGGAACTGGTGAGACTGTGCATTCATCGTGACTACATGGGTCCACTGGAGTTGAAGTGGGAGGGAGGCAGAAATGAAAACACAGGCGGCATGAAACTGTCACAAATTGGGGACTGCATGCCCTAGGATTATACCCAGGTTTTTAGACTTTACATCTGCTCTGTCTTCACTTCCATCAAGCTTGGCCCTGGAACCACTGTCAAGTCTCTGAAATCAGGACCTGAAAATATACATACCTGCTGGAGGCGGCCCCTGATGTCAGAGGCACAGAGGCGCAGCAAGTTCAAGTAGGAGACCTCGGTGTCCACAAGCTCCTGGATGGCCAGTCTCCGATGGAGCAACAATTTGTCTTCAGAGGCCTGGCCTGCCACGTCCGGACTCCCTGTCCTGGAGGATGGCTCATCGGGGTCCCCATCGGCCATGGCAGCAGGTTCTAGGAGAACCAAAAACATCACGACTCACTTCTAGGAGTTCTGTTGGGACAGGTTGTCCTAATCCAAAGATAATGATTCATCAAAATGCCCTAAAAACACCCTTAGTTACATAGACAGTCAAGATGAACTGTTTAAAAAAAAAAAAAAGATGAACTGTTTATTTGATTTTTAGGAGGGTTAGCTGAACAATAATAATAATAAAAGGCCGAAAACTGCCCAGATGATTGTTGACATTTTTAATTCATGTCCCAAGATTCTGACAATGTGCTTGGCTGGCTTGTTTCCTTTTCTGTCCCACAGCTCTTGGCCCAGATTTCTTTTTTTGCCTTGGCTGAGTCTCTCCCTGTGGCTCCCTCCTTTCCACTCCCACGGCCACAGCCACTATTCCGGCTGTTTCTCATCACCAGGACTATTTCAATATCTTCCTGGGTCATCTTTCCAAATCTATATCCCTCTCCCACCTGCTCCCGTTTGGCCTGGACACACATCCAGCTTAAACCTCCTTAAACAAAGCTGAAGATCACACTATTCTCTGCTACACGACATTTCGGCGCTCCCTGCTCCAACCTCATCTCTGCATCGTGGACTCAGCCCTGTAGTGAAGCAGTGTTAGCAGTTCCTCTGTAGGCTGCGTCCTCGTCTTCTGCCTCCCTGCTTCTGCACCTGCTTCACACCCCCTCCCGTGCCCATGTCCTTCAATATTCAGCTTCTCCGAGGTCTTTCCTGATTCTCCTGGTAGATGAGCATCTCTTCTCTAAAATTCCCATCTATAAATATAAAAAGTATAAAAGATGATGTTGTGGATAAAACCACTGCAACAAAACACTGAAATTCTGATTCATAGGGACCCAAGAGGACAGTGCAGAAATGCCCTCAGCATTCCCTAGATTGTAAATCATTACAAAAGGAGATTGCCTAACCTTTCTCTCAGAGTAGATAGTGGGTTCGAATTCCTGACCTTTCAGTTAGCAGCCAAGTTCCTTACTACTGCACCGCCAGGGTTCCTCCTGTTGTGGACAAGACGGCCTAAAAAAACCTTCCTACTACAAAACACCTAGGAATGCTAGCTCAGCTATAAATATACTTCCTTTTAAGAGTACAGCAAAGCCTACAAGGGAATAAAGGAAATTACCAGAATCTAAAAATAAAGGAAGCTGAAAGTAAAAGCAGAGAGTGGCTGAGCTGACATGGCAGTGGTCCAAAGAGGGCATGGATGAACAGAAAGGCGTTCCCAGTCTCAGGGTGGAAGCTGGAGAGAGTTCCATCACAGAACTGGAACCCGCCAGGACTTCAATGAAAAGGTAGATAAAGGGGATGGAAATGTCCATCTGGTGGCCTAGTGGATAAGAAGCTGTGCTACAATCTGAAAGGCACATGGTTCAAATTCACCAGCTGTTCCATGGGAAAAGGATGGGAAATCTCCTCCTATGCGACTGACTGACTCTGAAAAATCCACCTGCGGGTCAGTTATGGTTCAGTTCTAATGCAATGTCACACAACAACACCCGCATAGAATGTGATAAAGTTGCTTCCTTTTCTGATCTAGAGGCACAGGTAAGGAAAGAAGCCTTTCCTGAAAATTCATAACACCAGGCCTGCATTTACTGGGTCTGAGGTTCAAATTTATATCACATGCATAGTCCAAGTAAGCCTGGAGACAAGAATTAACACAAAAAGAGGTCCTGCACTAACACACTCTGGATGCCCATAGAATGAGCAATATATCTCCAGAGGATGCATCGTGAAGATCAGTTTAAAATCGAGTGGTGTGTGATTTGAGCCTACTGATAACTTAGTTATTATTTAGTTATAACTACTTGTTGTTTCCATGTGCCATTGAGTCACCTGTGACTTATATATAGTGACCCTATATACAACAGCTCTGAACCCTGCTCTACCTTGAGCCAGACTCACTGACTCTGACACATCTACCCCTATGACTTCAGTTACTGAGTCAATCCATCTCATCCGGAGTATTCCTCTCCTGCACTGCTGTCCCTCCACCCTTCCAAGCATATTCTTCTCCAAAGACTGGTCTGTCCTGGCCACGTACCCAAAGTATATGAGATGGAACTTCAAAATCCTTGCCTCCAAGGAGGAACTTCCTTTCACCATCTCAAAGACAGACTTGTTTGTTTTCTTGTCAGCCCATGGTATGTTCAATACACTTCTCCAGGATCACAACTCAAAGGCATTAATTCTTCTTATGTTATCTTTAGTCATTTTCCAGGTCTTTGATGCATAGCAAGTAATTGCGAAGACCATGGCCTAGATCAAGCACATCTTAGTCTTTAAACTGACATCATTACTCTTTAGCACTTAGGAGAGGTACCTGATAGCAGACTTCCCAATGCAACCTGTTTTTTTATTTCCTGATGACTAATGCCAAGAATGTTGACTGTAGAACCAAGCAAGCTGAAATTGTTAGCAATCTCAATCTCTGAGTCTCCATCTATCATGGTGCTGCCAATTGGCCTAGTGGTGAGAATCTTGGATGCTGAGCTTCAATCCATATTGAAGAATACAGTCCTTGACCTTCTGTAGCAAGGGCTTCAGGTCCTCCTCCATTTCGGCAAGTAAGGTTGTATCATCCACATAATGCAGGTTGTTGATGGGTCTTACTCCAATACTGGTGCCATATTCCTCCTCATAAAGCCTAGCCTCTTGAACTATCTGTTCCACATATAGATTGAAAGAGTATGGAGACAGGACGCATCCTTGGCACATTCTTTTCCCAATTTTGACCCAAGTATTTCCTTGCTCTGTTCTGACGATTGCTTCCTTGTTTAGGTTTAGATTTTGCATGAGCGCAATCAAGTGCTCTGGGTTTCCCATTCTCCTCAAGGTTAACCACAATTTGTTGTGATGCACACAGTCAAATGCCTTTGCATAATCAGTGAAACACAGATAGACATTCCTTTGTTACTCTTTGCTTCCGGCCAAGATTGATTTGATATTGGCAATAATGTCTTTAGTTTCACGGACTCTTCTAAATCCAGCTTGTATTTCTGGTAATTCTTTTTTAAAGTACTATCAGCCATTTTTCAATAATCTTCAGCATGATTTTGCTTGGGTGTGATGTTAGTGATATTGTTTAAGAATATCCACACCCTGTTGGGTCACTTTTTTATGAAATGGAAATAAATATGGATCTCTTCTAATAAGTTGGCCAGTTCTCCAATTTCTTGGCACAACTTGGTGAGCTACTTAGTTATAACTAAATAATTCACAGGATTAGTTTTCTTGATTTGAAAATTTAAGGTCATCTCTTTTTTTAAAAAAAAAGTAAATTAAAAATTCTTTCATTGTTTTATAATCCCTCCCCCTTGGTCCACTCCACTATGCAGCCTTTGTTCTAGAATCCTGTCGTGACAATAATATCTAATCACATATCCTTTTTAAACAGTTTTCTCCCTCATACGTCTCAATGCAGTATACATTATTTATTCCCACCTTTCTCAGTCTTCCACTACCCCCAAGGTCACTTATTTTACAACAGTGGCACCATGCAGTATTTGTCCTTTTGTGACACAGATACTTCACTCAGCATAATGTCCTCCAGGGTCATCCATTTTGAATAATATTGCATGAGTTCCTTGTTTTTCAATGCAGCACAGTATTCCATTGTGTGAATAGGTCACAGCTTCTCTATCCATTCTTTTGTTGATGGGCACTTAGGTTGTTTCCAACTCCTTGCTATTGTGAACAAAGCCGTGATAAACAAGGGTGTGCATATATCTGCTTGGATGTCAGTTATGGTCTCTTTGGGGTATATTCCCAGTAGTGGAATTGCTGGGTCAAATGGTATCTCTATTTGCAGATTTTTGAGATAGCACCACACCGCCTTCCACAGTGGTTGCACCATTTTACACTCCCACCAACAGTGAATAAGGGTTCCAGTTTCTCCACAACCTTGCCAGCATTTGTTGCTTGCTGTCCTGTTAAATTTTGCTATTCTTAATGGGGTGAGATGATATCTCATAGTTGTTTTGTAAGGTCATCTCTTCATGTATCAATTGGCCTAAAGTTTGTGTGCGCACGCACGCACATGCACAAATGCGCACGCACATGCACAAATTCACACACACTTAATTTTTTAAATATAATTTTTTTAAATTTTATACTGTTTTACTTACAGAATTTGTACACATTGTTTTTCACACCAGTTCCCATTTCCTTAATCCACCCCTCCCTCTACCCATTATATTGTGCTAACCTATGATTATGCCCCTCACCAATCCTCACCTCTGTACTCCCACCCTTCCCCCTTGGATCCTCACACATTTTACTAGTTATCTATTTCTACAATAATGAACTTACACAGTTATTTGTCCTTATGGGACTGAGTTAATTCAGTTAGCATAATGCTCCCAGTTAGGTAGTAATTTACAAAATCATTGTTCCTGCATGCTGCATAGTATTACATCATGCAAATGTACTATAATTTCTCAATCCATTTGATTGTGGTTGGACATTTGGACTGTTTCCATGTTCTTGCGATGGTGAATAGCACTGCTATGAACATTAATGTACATAAAGTTCTTTTCAGAGTTTCTTATCTATTTCTTAGTTTGGTGTGAACAGGACAGATGCAAGTGAAAACTTGGTAATACAGGTGACTGGAATCTTAAAATCTGCCCAGTGGTACAACTGGTTTCTCTTAGCATAGAACAGCAAGGATGAAGTGATTGGAAAAGGAGACAGAATGAAGTTTTAATTTCTTCAATCCTACTTTCTTTGCCATAATACCAGAAGAAATGGACAGTATTAGACTACCATTACTGAATATTTTGATCAAGGAACCAATTAATCATTGATCAAAAGGAAGAAAATGGGAAACTAGAACTTCAAACTTCAGACTTACTGAATCCATTGAGAACTGAGAGGATCCCTAAGTCTACTGACCAGGAGAAAAAAAATCTTTAAATCTTGACCTGAAACTATCCTATGCAGTCATCATTAAACCATTTGTCTCAATTAATAAAGAA